TTTTTTAATGATTGTGCTTATAAAAAAAATCTGAGTTCTATGTATTTCTGTATTTGTCCACATTTACAGGCAAATGGATTCTGTGACTTCAAATCAACGCCTCATACCATTCCAAGGATGTAGCAGTGGGTAAGCCAGTGGCACGTCAAGCCTAATGCAACGTCTCGTCCAAATTCTGCCCTACCCCAAACTGTGGCAAATTCAGCCCAGCTCCTTGTCTCCTTGGCCCTCTCCTATGCACCAGGGCCTGCCCTGCCGGGTTGCAAGCAGCTGTTGTGGAGTGATTTGCTTCAGGTTAACATCTCCACCATTGCATCTCTGTTGGTACTCCCTAAAACTCATGCACTCACCCGAGCTCTGGCTCTAGCGTGCTCAGGAGGCGCCAGGGCAGCTGCACGGTGCTGGGGGCTGGTAGGGTGGGAAGAGATAGATGGGGTGTGCTGACCGTTCCATCTGCTGCCACGTGCATCACCGGGGGTTTTCACAGAATCATAGAATCGTTTAGGTTGGAAAAGACCTGTAAGATCATCAAGTCCAACCATTAACCTACACTACCAAGGCCACCACTAAACCAGTAAAGGTTTCCTGGCTTGGTGGCTGGATTAATTTTTTAATGAAAGTAAAACTAGGAATCATTAAGGTTGGAAAGGACCTCTAAGATCATCAGTCCAACCATCAACCCAACACCCCCATGCCCACTAAACCATGTCCCAAAGTGCCACGTCTACACATTTTTTTAACACCTCCAGGGATGGTGACTCCCCCACCTCTCTGGGCAGCCTGTTCCAATGCTTGACCACTCTTTCAGTAGAGAAATTTCTCCTAATATCCAATCTAAACCTCCCCTGAGGAAACTTGAGGCCATTTCCTCTCATCCTATTGCCAAGAATTTCCACTTATGACAAACCTCTCATCACTTCAAACAAGGGTCTGCTTGTTGGGCCACGCAATGGGGAGGCCCATGGAGGTGTCAGATCACTTGTCAGGGAAAAAAGTCCCCTAACAGGCAGTATTTAGGATGCTAGCAGCTAACTGGGATGCTCTGTCCCTATGGATACAGTTTCCCTCCCACACACCTGAAATGGCTGGCGCTTTGTTCACAGGTTGAGCCAACATCTTTCTTTTTTGGGATCCTCAATGCATTGCGCAAGCCTGGAGTGTAGCCCTGACTCGTGGGGACCCCACCATGGAAGTCACATAGGCGAGAAAACATGGTGTAAGCAGGGGACTTGCTTGCTGGGGGCTGATTTGGGTCAGTGCCCTTATAGCCTGGACAACCTGGAGAAGGCTGACAACTCTAGCGAGCAGAGGATGCTGTGGGTCAGGTCTGGAGATCTGTCAGGTAAAGTTGGTAAGTTTGGGTCACAGTAGGTAATTCAAGGCCAATCAATGCACGGAGCAGGGCCAGCTTCAGCCCCAAATCAGCGCTGGAGACAAGCTGAGGGTGACCACGCACACATGGAAGGAATGTGACTTCCTCTGTCCTGTCCATCTCTGCCCTCCTGGCACGTACATCGCCCCTCGCTAGCCCAGGTGCCAGTTTTCAGCTGTTTTGTTCCAACCTGACCCTCCAACACCAGTCACAGAGCTGCCCTTAATTAAAAAGAAATAATGCCAGATGAACCAGAGTTGTCAGAAGACAGGATCCCTTGGGCGGAGAGAGGCAGGAGAAGCAGCTTGCTTTAGAATCATAGAATCATAGAATTGTTTAGGTTGGAAAAGACCTTTAAGATCATCCAGTCCAACCATTAACCTACACTACCAAGTCCACCACTAAACCAATTAAGGGTAGACTAGACTAAACCATGTCCCAAAGTGCCACATCTGCCTGGTTTTTGAACTCTTCCAGGGATGGGGACTCCCCCACCTCTCTGGGCAGCCTGTTCCAATGCTTGACTACCCTGTCCATGAAGAAATTTTTCCTAATATCCAACCTAAACCTCCCCTGAAACAAGATCGTTCCAGACCCAGGAGGGACATGAACACCAGCTCATTGTACCAGGACGTGGGGGAGGGAGATACTGTTCTCTAGAGGACTGAAATACTTTGGGGACACAGGAGCCAGCTAAAATGCACTCAGTGCCTCAAAGAAGCAGGAGAGAGCACCAAGCTCTGCATGTCCTCCTGGTAGAGAAGCCACAAGCGCCAAAAAGGTGAAATAGCAAAGAAAAAGAGAAGCTTAGGAGTTTAAAGCTATAGACCTGTCCCCAGCTGTTGCTGCCCTCCTTGCTGCAAAATAAAGTTGGTCCCAGCTGGCAAAAGTCAGCTTTAACGTTGTTGAAACAAGAGCGAAGCATGCAGTCAGCAGTCCAGTGCCTGCCCGCAGCTGAGCAAGGGTTGCTCTGTCCCATACTTGCAGAGTGCATGGGAACTCGCGTATTTAAATGCCCAGCTCCCGTTCACTCCAGTGAAGACTGAAGCATCTTGGCCATTTCCCAGCAGCGACCTTTGGTAATGCTGTAAGGAGCAGCATCCCAAACACCGAAGAGCCGTGATCCTCTCCCGAGGACGGGCAGAACAGCCAGGACCTGCTCGTATTCGTAAGACCGATACCAGTTACAGGCACAGGGGAATCCTTTTACCTTACTTAACAACCTGGCCCCAAATGGCTAACGTCTCTTTTTATGCTCTAAGAGCGGATTTAATCATGTCTGCATTAGCAGCTACACTCAGATCAACATTTTAGCCTTAAATGGTTCAAAACCAACCAGTCTCAGATCTGCACATTATTAATATTGCAACAAACAGACTGCCATGAATTCATCCCAGCTCTGGCCATTGCTATCGCGTGCTGCACGCCTGTTTAACAGTGACTTCAGCCTCTGTCCTGGTTTCGGCTGGGATAGAGTTAATTTTCTTCCTAGTAGCAGGCACAGTGCTGTGGTTTGGATTTAGTAGGAGAAGAATGTTGATAACACGCTGATGGTTTAGTTGTTGCTCAGCACTGCTTATGCCAGTCAAGGACTTTTCAGCTTCCCATGCTCTGCCAGGGGCACAAGAAACTGGGAGGGAGCACAGCCAGAAAAGTTGATCCCAACTGCCCCAAGGGCCATTCCATACCATACGGCGTCATGGGCAGTATAGAAACTGGGGGGGTTGGCCGGGGAGCAGCGATCGCTGCTCGGGGACAGGCTGGGCATCAGTTGGCGGGTGGTGAGCAATTGCATTGGGCATCACTTGCTTTGTATATTGTTATTGTTATTATCATTATTATATTGTTATTATTATCATTACTATTTTACTTTATTTCAATTATTAAACTGTTCTTATCTCAACCCAGGAGTGTTTCTCACTCTTACTCCTCCGATTCTCTCCCCCATCCCATCAGGGTAGGGGGAGTGAGCGATGGCTGCGTGGTGCTGAGCTGCTGCCTGGGAAAAAACCACGACAGCCTCCTTTGGTATCACTTGCCCCTTGTGTTTTCCTCCCAGATGTCTTCTATTAAAACCAATGTCACAAAGTTTGACCAGGTGTGAGAGGGGAGGGAGAGAAGAGAGCTGAGATACCAGCTACAAACCCTTTTCAAGCTCTTACATTGTGTTGGCATCCAAATGGCACTTTCCCAGCCCTAGAAGGTCTCCCTTAGGCTACAACCAAGAGCAGGATCAACAAGTTTCAGCTCAGAGGGAAAGCAATGAACATCAGAAAAGAAGGAATGCAGGCACAGTCTGGTTTTAGCTGCTCATGGAAGTGCAAATGCAAAGACGGCTCCTTGCCGCCAGCTCCTATCGCCCATTCACCGGCAAGAGCTGTACAGTTCTGGGCACGCTCCTCCTCTCCTTGCTTCCTCAGGCAGAGGACTTCCAGGAACAGAGCAGTTTCAGTGTGAAGAAACCAGGCCAGACAGGATTAGCCAAAAGCAAAGCCGCAGCAGCTGCCCATTGTAGATGCGGGACCATGTTGGCATGGGCAGGACGAATCCATTGCAGCAAACTGAAAGGCAAAGGAGCCTCACCACGAAATGTAGGGCTCAGCTGGCTTCTTGGCCTAACGCCTGCAAACACGAACCCACCACCAGCCTGTCAGAGAGACCCAGTCAGTCAATTTGTATTTGAAAGAATGATTTTATACAGAAAACCTGACATTTTACATCCTCCCTCTTATTCCTCTGTACGTTAATAAAACATGTTGGTGTTTGAAAGGAGAATCTCTGGGTGTTTCTTATTAAGCAGCAGGGGGTCTGCAAAGTCTGCTAAATACTTAATTGAGTGTCAGCAGGTTCCTCTGGTAACTGCAGACCTTGACTGAAGAGACAAGCGGTGTCCCCCCTGTGCAGAGCAAGCCGGAAAGGTTCACAATCCTACGGCCGGCACGGAGCAGCAAAAAGCCCTGCAATTTCATGCCACGTTGCACTCAGCAAAAGGCCTTTGCGTGGCTAGCTGCCAGCAGATCCAAACACGGGGAGGGCTTGAGTGTTCTACCCTTCAAACCTGCTCGTGAGGAGTGGTCTGGGCTTGCCTTTGTCTGCATTCTTCAAGGGGTTAAAAAAGGCAAGTGGTTTTTTACTCATCTCTACCCCCCAAATGAGCAGAGTATCATTTTATAGTGATCTGTTTAAAAAGGAAGGCTGGCTATGTCTGTTGAAGTCAACTGCACTGGTGACAGTAACAGAAAGATTCAAACTGGGAGAGCGCGTTGCCTCTCTAAAAGCTTGATTTTACACAGCACTGAACCACTTTGCTCCCCGTGGATTCTGGGGCAGACTAATTCTGTGCACCAGACTGCCTGCGAACTCTGTGATCTGAAAATCCTGGGCAGGAACCAGCAACAACACTTGGGAAAGAAGTAAGATGGAAGAGTGAAAGAGCTGCCTTCTAGCTGTCATTTTCCATACCCGTGTTGAGCTGAACGCAGCATCACCTCTGCAGCATCAAACTTCATAAACTTTATTATTATAGAAAATACAGGTCATAAAAAAGCCAAGCAAACAAAAACTCTTGACACAGGGAATTCAACACACAGACATTACACACATCCATGGGGACTGCCATCCCCAAACGCTACTGCATCTCTTCTTCCCTCTGGGCCCTGTATTCCTTCATGCTCCTCTGCAAACAAGAGCAAAGGACAAATGTTAACAGCATATATATGAGTGGCTCGGATACCACAGTGCCACCACCCTGGTCTGTGCTGTGACTTCTCTGTGCAGTGCCTGGAAAGGCTGAGGGACCTGAGAAGCTCTGACAGAGCTCCAGGTACTTTCAGAAGTGACTGAGCTTTACAGTCACTCCAAGGGAAAGGAAGCCAGGCCATGCCGCAGGTCAGGCAGAGAACGTCTGAAAAAAATAATCAGGTTTTTCAAGGCAAAAGTGCCTATAACACAGTTCTCAGCCCATTCCTCTACCCTCTGAGACCAAGAGATAGAAAAGGCCCCTGAGCTCTTTGGGAATAGTCTCACCTCAAAGGTGTTGAGCACGTGTTGGCAAACACCCATCAGGTCATTCAGCCCTTTCCGGAACGGCTCAACAGCAGGAAGGGCCCCTTCAGGAAAGAAGATGAGTTAATGAAACGGGAAGTGGCTCCCAAAGGGGCTGGTAGCCCCCTCCCTTGCCGCTCTGAGGCAGCCTGGCTGTTACCACCGTGCCCAAGGGCAGCCCCCGTGACAGGGAGAGGCTCTCGCACCAGCTATGTGCCCACATGTGTCCCTCCTGCCAGCCCACCACCAGCAGCCGGAGCACTGAGCTCGGGGCGGTGGTCCAGGCCGTGGCGCGGGAAGAGCAGACGCTTACCCTGCACTTAGTCCCGTGGGGAAGGGATTCCCTTGGCAAGGCAAACAGCCTGAGCACTAATTATTTTTAGGAAATCAAAGAGTCAGCAAGCACAAACGAGATACTTGCTTCCAGGAAGCGGCTTCTACGTATCTGATGCTCAAGGGAACAGCCCCATGAGGAAGGAATGAAGTAACACCGTCCCTCTAGGCAGCGGACAAAGCTGCGGAGCTTGCAGGGCCCGGATGAAGGGCAGCGGACGGAGCTGAAGGGGTTGGTGTGCTGGCAGGAGTGAGTGACTGCAAGAGGCTCAGAGCTGTCAGTGCTATCTATCACCAGGGAACAAAGTCCTCTTTGGGAGACAAGTGAAAAGACAGCACAGACTGATGAGGCTTTTCAAAAGAGCTTCAGGTCATAGCCTGATGACCAAAGCTGCAAGACAGCTGAGAAGGAGAAGCAGAAACAAATTATCTCACAGCAGCTATATATGTCAGCGCACTTTGGCTTTGCTTTCCAACCCCCGTGCTGCTTTAGGAGCAGATGGAGCACCCATCACCTGTGACAGTGAGCAGCAGACCTACTCTACCCCGGCACTACAGTTCGGTGCCTGCTGCCAGCCAACCCAGATCCCTGGGACCAGGCACGGCTGTGGGCTCCTCGGGCCTCAGCTGGCTCAGCCCTACAGCTGGGAAACAGAAGAGCTGTAGCATAATGGCTCAGAGCGGCCCGTCCGGCTGAGCAACAGGGCACAGCAGTTGCAGGTGGCTAGCTGAGAAGAGGGAGAAAAGTGGTTTTTTTCTGTATTTAAATGACTCATGGTGGAAACCTGACATGAGCAGGGGGAATTACACAAAAAAAGGGCCCCAGACCCAAAGAAAATGTGCACAGCCATACCTCTGGTCTGGATGCGGAAGTTGATCTTGCTTTCAGAGGGGTGTGTGATGCAGTAGCCACAGAACTCCACATCGGGGCTGCAGGAGAGGAGAGAGGAGAAGAGAGCAGTGAAACCCAGGCCAGTCCACAGCAAATCTCAGGAAGTCAGAGGCTCAGGCCACCCCAGACCTGCTGGGGCTCAGGATGTTTCTAAAATGACTGAGGGGGAGGGATATGCTGAAGGGAAACTACCTGTGTAACCTTATTCACAAGCCCCCAGCTGTCTCTGAGCTGCAGCTGGAGCTCTGCAGGGGAAGGACATGGCTGGCACGATCGTAAGTACCATCCTGGCACCACCAGCGGTCCACTGGCAGGCCTGCAGAGTTCAAACAGGGTGTCCTGGATGCTTGGAAACCTCACCGTACGCAAACCTGTCGCAGTTCTGCTGGGCAAAAGAGGCTGAGTGGTCTAGGGCACCGCAAGGATTTACTGCGATGGTCTGCAGGCTGCACGGGATCTGCCTTCGTAAGCTGAGGCGGTTGGTAGAACATTTGTGCGCCCAGCAGAAAGAACAGCCCTTCGCAAGAAGCCCGCTGTTTCTCTTGTCGTGGTGATTTATCAGAGGAATTCACATGACATTTGCAATGCAACTGCCATTTGAGATGATGCACTGAACTTCCTGCTGTAATTCTGCTGAGGCTTACCAGGAGATCTTCACAAACCCTCAGTGCTGCCCCGCTCAATAAAATCAGGCAACCAGAGGGAACTTATTTGTATATTTTGATGGGGGCAGCAGGATAATTAATTCCCAGCATCTATTCCTGCATCTCCATGCAAGCATGAAAGGTGATCAATTTGCTTAATACTGGCTGTTCCTACCCTCTTTTCTGACAGTGCTTGTCCCAGAAGGAGACGTAGATACTGCCTGACCACGTGTACTTCCACAGAGTTGCGTATTGTTTTACCTGGGGCCAAATAAGACGTTTGGAAGCCTTTCACATGTCAGGCATTAAATTTCCTCCATAACTAACCATCAAGGAGCAGCAAGGGCTGGCTCTTCCCTAAGAGATGGGAAGCTGGAAGCCATGAATAGTAAGATAGCCAAGGGGGCAGAGGCCTCACTAACTAGCCCTGTCCCACAGCACCCAAGCGAGGGAGTAGGGTGGGTGCAGAGGTGGTAGCCAGGGTCAGCCAAGGGTCCAAATCATCAGGTGGGGATGAAGCAGGTCCAAGGTCAGGCCAGGAAGTCAATCTGCAGGCCAGTGTCATGCCAGGTGAGGGTAATGAGGGTCGGACACCAGCCAGGGTCACCAAGCAGGTGGACAATGATGAGGAAGGGCTGATGGCAGGTCAGGAAGCCAGTCTGTGGGTCAGCATCCAGGAGAATAGAGCCTACAGCCCAGTACAGGCTGAGCTGGAGACCCATACTCCTACAACACAGCTCAGGAGGGACTGAAAGCCCTGAGCTGAGCTTAAATGGGGCTCCTGGGCCCATGGGCAGGGTGTTGGTGGAGGCCCCAGGTGTGGCTGGTCAGGCCCATTAAGGCCTATAAGTGCTCTCAGGGTCCTGACATTAACAGCACAAGGAAAAAGTTAATTCTGTGAAGAGAGGTAGTAGGTAAGGAGTCTTTGGCACTGTGTCTGATATAAAGACTCTAACAGGCATGCACGGGGTAGTTTCTGATCATTTGCCTTGCTCCAGCAATGACTGAGATGCAGATCAGTAAGGAAAAGGCCAGAGTAGGAGACAGAGGTACCCTCAGTGACTCCAGGCACCGCAGAGGCTCCACTTACTTCTTCATGACCATATATCGGAGGGAGTTGCCGAGCGTGTGGTCCTCGTCGTGCAACACGAACGTGACGCAGTTCCCATCTGTCCCATCCGCCTGGATCTGCCACAAATGGGGAAAGGAGAGATGTTGTAAGGCTCTCTGAGGTAATGAATACCAGCCCTAGGGGGAAGAACAAACTATTGTGCTCAGCTTCAGCACAGTAACTGGGAGGACCTGCAGGTCTGGCTGGGCCACCTTGGTGCTCATGTCTCAGGTGCTGCAGTATGTCCAAGAGCACCTTTGCAGCGGAGGGAAAGTTGCAAAATTACAGACCTCAGAGAAACCTCTCCCTGGTTATCAAAGTGCCTGTGCATCTTTCCTCTTCACAGGAGAGAAGAGGAGCCCAAAGAAAGCTGTGGCCTCAGGACCCGTGGTGGAAAGAAGCTGAGAGCGACTGTTCAGGTTGGCGTGATCCCAGCTCCCACCACCAGCCCGTGGCTAGACAGGAATGAGAGGGACAGTGAAAAAATTCCCAGGGAGGAATGCTGCCTGTCAGCAGGTAAATCTTATCCCAGCTCTAAACAAGAGGAGCTGTAAGCCCAAATTCACATGCTTAGGATGAGCCTAGGGAGCCCCGCACGTAACGAGCCCCGCAATGCCAGCAGCCAGCCCCTAACCCTCCTGCTGCTTTTGGCTCGGGTGCCCAAAAAAGCTTTACCAGCTAACGCTTCCTGAGAAGACTGGTTTGGGATCCCCTCCAAAACCACCAAGTCACCTCATTAATCGCTTAGCTGTCACAGGGCTGCCGAGCCTCTGACCTTTCCCCAGGCTCAGCGTAGCCACCGTGGAGCCTGACGTGCCCAGACAGCCCCCAGCTGCTTCCTCTCCCAGCAGCAGAGAGAGGTTTCAAGGTAAGTGTGGAGCCGCATTAAGACAAATGCTGATTTCTTTGCATCCCACCCACGGCCAAATCCCCAACTGCTCCAGGGGTTTTATAACCCCTCACATTTCCCCTCAGGTATTAATACCCTCCTCAGCAGTCCCATTCCTCCTTCTGCAGGTACGGGGAATTGACTCAGCAGTTCAGAAGGAAAACACAAGACTGATTTCCGCACAGAGGAAGAGATCACCCAGACCTGCAGCACAACTCAAGGCACCAGCTATTGCAGAAGGGTAGGCACGATGCAGCAACATCACCTCAGCAACGGGGATGTTGGACTGATAGGGTCTCCCTTGCCTCCGAGCATCGCACAATCCACAACCAAAGCGGTAAGGCTTGCTGAGTGATTGAAACAAGGCAGTGAGTGGCAAAAACACCTTCCCTTGGCGTGGAAGGACAGTGCGTGACTTGCCACGGGTCACTCGGGCAGCCAGTGGCATGGATGAAACGCCCTGCCTGCTCTCCCGCTTGCTAGACCCAGCACCCTCTTCCCAAACGTAGCTGCTGCTGGCCTCAGCCTCTCCTACTGTGGGGCTTTGCAAGGAAGTATTTATTAAAATTATTAGCATCAGCTGTACTCAAGAGCTCGTGTTTTCCAAAGACTACAGGCTCAAACAAGAGCAGACTAACTCCGGAGGCAGACGGATGCCAGGACAGGTTGCTTGGCCCCGAGTTTGCTCCCTGCACCCAGTCACAGGGTTAGAAGGGTGCCCAGGTGCCAAAATCCCAAGTGCCACCACCACCGCAAGCCAGGTACAGCTCTGGTCATCGGGACAGTGACGCTCCTGCAGCTTGGTCACACGACAGGAGTTACACCTTAGCTCAGGTGTAGCTCTGCACGCATGGGGACAAAGAGATGCTTTTCCAGAGAGAGCGCAAATATTTACAGCAGTTACACATGTTGCATAAAAATTACTTGAAAAATAGGATAACTGGGGGTTTAACACGCAGTGCTTCAGATCCCCTTCCTTGCAATGACTTCAGACCCCTTCCCAGAGCTGAAGGAACATGTGGGCATAGGAAGGAAGGGACGGATGCATCGCTGGCATGGTGGCTGGGCCAGCTTGTGGAGCTGCAGCGAGTGCCCCAGAGCAGCAACCCAATGAATTTAAGCTGGCCCTGCCTCCTTAGCACAGATGAAAGCCAGAGCGCGGCTCTTGCACGCAGCTGTAAGGAACGCATTGTGCTGAACCTGTCTGCTCCACAGAGACTCCATTTCTCTCTCCTCTTTCCTGTAGAGTGTCCTCGGATGCAGTTCTGGATCTCAGCAGGACCATAAGCTTCGCTGCTTCTCATCAAGCCATTGGCCCCCCTAGTCGGGTACCTGGCCTCTGGCACAGATGCTGTCCGCTGCTTCCGAGGAAAACCGACACATTCCCCTGAAGGGCAGACTCCTCCCTGCTCCCTGCAGCAATCGGGGCTGTGCCCTGAGGCAGAAGGCTGAGATTTCTCAGGGTGTTTCTGAGTCTCCCCTCAGAGGTGTCCAGGTATCAAACTATACATCACAAGAGAACTTGTCCTCCCATGAGCCAATTTGTAAAAAAAGCCCTGAAGCCCTGGAGTAGGGAATTACGCTCCTCTGGAGTTTTTCCTCTTTGGTTACGCACCGATTTGCTAGTCGCTTTAGCAAATTGTCCTTGTTCTTGTGTTATGGTAGAGGCAGAAGGAAAAGCTGATGAGGTTTCGAGGCAGCTTTAGGATTGATCAAGTTCACTTGAGCCCCTCAGAGACAACAGAGATGGAAAAGCCTGCATCCCCCCCAAAACGACCTGGGGCGCACCCTCCCAGCAAGGTCAGGATACAGCCCCTGCGGCCTGGCCACCCACGCATCGGACACCCTCCTCCTCCTCCTCCTCTACCGGCTACGCGAGCTTAAGAGCTGCAGTCTCGCATCATCCAGAAGCTCTCCTGCTTAGGGGGGCTGTGATTTTATGACGATGAATTATTTAATGTTGTATCTGGTGCCTAGGTAGTGCCGTGGCGGATACATTAGCACAGCGCTGAGCTAGATGGGATCAGCTAGACGTGAAGTGGGCAGGGAACAGGCCTATAACTCACTTCTTACGCTCGCCGCAGTTTACATGTAACTTGTCTTTTATGTCAGAATATATAGTTCTTTGCTGATCTTCATGAGCCGGTATCGCTTTCTCCTCCCATTTTCTGCGTGGTACCGCGCTCCTCACGGAGGAATCGGCTGGTTTGTTGCCAAGGGCCTCTCTAGTCACTGTGGCTCTTCAAAGCTCAACTTCATTCACCGCCTCAGGCTTGCAGGATTAGGATTGGGCTTCCTGGTGCAACCGTGGCCTTCAGCCTGTGGCCTGAACAACTGGGGAGAAGAATACGGCTCTACGGAGCGTGCAAAAGGTAACTAGCAGAAGCCAGACTATTGCTAAGACATTCTAGGCTCTGTTGCACCATTAGGAAAAGTTTAGGGGCTGTAGATGGAGAGGCTATGGAAAACTGTTGTATTAAGCCTCCCCCAAAGGCATCTTTTAAAACCAGGCAACTTAGAGAGCCCGCTTGTTTCCCCTGTATGGCTGCCCCGGTCGGTGCTCAGTTCCCCCTGCGTTTTCCACTGACAGACAGACAGACAGACCGGGGCATGGAGTGCCCGACGGTCCTGCGTCAGCTCTCCCCGTCATCGCGTCTTGGCGCGATTGCCCGCTGGGGGCCTGCGAGCCCGTTAGCCTGAAGTGCAGTGCCATCTAGAGCCTTCCGCCGCCTGCAGAAGATGGACAGAGGCTCCACAAAGCCCTGCCGCGGGGCTCAGCGCCCAAAACAGGGGTGCGAGAGGGGACGAGGCACGCTGCGGGGCCTGCGGCTGACGGGCAAAGCCACCCGCCGCCTGATGCCATGCAGTGCTGGGCAGTTCAGCTTTAAAAAGCAAGGCTTGTTAGGACTAATGCTTTCTCAAACTATTTTAAAAAACTTTAGTCCCGACCTCTAGCTGCTTCAGTGCCCTACGGGGCAATCTCAAACACCTAAACTTCCAGAAATTCAGCTAAAAGGCACGTTCCCTTTGTCTGTCCCTCCTATTTCAGGAGAAAAAATTCTCCCTTTCCTCAGCTTCTTTCTCCCTCTGCTGTTCACAGACACCGCAACAGCGCAGCCGCTCCACACCAGGTGAAACCAAGCGGGTTTACGGGTCGAAGACAGCCGGGTCTCTGAGGGGTGACATCCGAGGAGGATTTAGGCTGGGATACGAGAAGAAAGGCCGTACCGCAGCATGGGGCCGCTTTGCAAAGGGATCTTTGCTGCTTCCCGCTGCCGGGAGGAAGCACCAGCCCGGGGATGCGGCCAAGGGCAACTCGCAGAGCCAGCCTTCCCTTGGCTGTATCCCTGTTGCTGCAGATCCATGGAATCATTCAGGTTGGAAAAGACCTGTAGGATCATCCAGTCCAACCATTA